TTCACCGCGGGCAAGACTGACGCTACCTCAAATCCCTACAATATTGTTCTTCTGTAAACTTGTATGGGTCTACCCTGTGTGCGAGCCAGCGAGTCGTGCGAGTCACAGTGCGAGTCAGGGTTTTAACGTGAAAAAAATATTAAATAACGCTTTATATTTTTACTCGTTGTTTGTATTTTTGACTCAAAATACAAAATACGACTCAACTTGTAAAAATATACAGCGATGCTACACACCAAAACATCTAATAAGATATATATATAAATAACACTGTATTTTAAACTAACGCTATATTTTAATATATACATGATACGAGTTACACTAGCTACATGTAGCGACGGTTTTAATTTCGTAGATGATTCTAAAACGTGAATATATTTAAGTGCGTGACTGTATTTATTTCGTGTTATTGATTTATTGATTTATTTATTGATTGATTGATTGATTTGTTTATTTAGTCTTTTTTTAAGATCGTGAATATAATGTTTTGAGGGGAGAGCAAATTTCGAAAAAAACTACCGTCGAAGATGTGTGTTGGTAGTACCACGATATATCCCATAGGCATAATCAAGGTTCAGATAACATCAATATTGTATAGATTACATAACACTATCGAAGTCACGCATTCTCTGTGGTCTTCAGATCGCGGTGGAGACAGAGACGTTCTTTGTTGGTCTTTGTGTTCTTGTTATTGTTGCTGCCGCTCACAGCTTGTTCACAATTTCCTTACAATTTTAAAACTTACAGTAGAATCCCGATTTTTTGGAGCCCCCGATTTCTTTAAACCTTTTATTATTCGAAGTAATCTTTTGGTCCCATTAGCAAAAGAGAGCCCTATATATCTCGAACCATTTTTCTTTTATCTGGGAGGCTCAAGAAATTGGGAATCCATTGTATAACTCCAACTGACTTACTCTCTTGACTCTTGACTCTCTTGTTTTAGGTTTATTTTATTTAGTTAGTTACGTAGCTTACAGGTCACAGCTCACAGCTCACAGCTCACAGCTCA